GTTGCTTTGCTGCTAATGCAAGATGTAAAAAGTTGAAAGACAACAAAAACAGAGGAGGGGAAAATGAAATCACCGACTTGTTTATGGCTACCGCTGGTTGTGAAGCGATTATGAAGGTTGCTACAATGGTTTACCCTCGAGAACTAGAAGAAATGACTTTCGAAGAAATAAGTCAGGTTATTAAGGGAAACATGAGGCCAAAGAAAAGACTGGTGATTGCAGAAAGGACCAAGTTTATGGCAATGAAGCAGGAAGTGGATGAACCGATAGTAAAATATTTACACCGGTTAAGAAGTGCGAGTAAATACTGTGAATTTGAAAAACTAGGAACAGGAGAGCAGACAACGGAAGAAGAATTAATCCAACTAAGATTAATTGAAGGTATGCATAATTCAGCACATAGATATAAGTTAATGGAACAGTTACAACTTACAAACATGCCTTTGAATATGTGTATAGAATTTATACAACAGCAGGAATTAATACATACCTACAACCAAAATAAAAAATAAATCCTACGAAGAAATAATGGCTGAAACATATACGGTACAAAAAAAAAGAAAAAATTGTGCGTGTTGTGGAAAAATTCATGAAATGAAAAAAGAAAAATGCCCAGCCTTTGGAAAAACGTGTTCAAAAAAATCACTTCAAAGAAGTATGTAAAACGAAAAATGTGGAAAGAGTAGAGGATGAAAATAGACAGATTTTTAATGTAAAAAAGGATAATATACAAAATACTGGATCTAAGAACGGAGATACAAAAATAAAAGTGAAAATCAACGACTGTATTGTCGAAATGCAAATCGACACAGGTAGTGAGGTCACGATAGTACCCAGAAATTTTGGGAAAAATGGGAAAACCATTTTAAAAAAAAAACCAACGTACAATTACGTCAGTTTGATGGCTCGATTATAGCAATTATGGGTTACTTTGAAGGTTCAATAGAACTAAAAGAAAAATGTGAAATAGTACCCATTATAGTTACAAATTGCCGAAAAACGCATGGACTACTGGGGAATGACGTGTTAAAAATAAATTCAACGAAGTTGATTAATGAGATAGAAATAGAAAAAACAGGAAAATTAAAAAATTATGAAGCTAGCCTGAAATTAAAAGAAAATGTTTCCCCCTCCTACTACAAAGCGAGAAAAATACCAGTGCATTTATTACCATTGGTAATAGCTAAATTGCGAAAGCTAATAAAGGAAGACTTATTAGAACCTGCCCCTCCAGGAGGAAGTAAATGGGCATCACCCATTGTGGTATTGAAAAAAAAAGATGGTGACCTGAGAATTTGTGGAGATTATAAAATAGGGGTGAACCATAAAGTTTGTGCTGACTCGTACTCTATTCTGAATGTGGAAGTAGCTTTACGTAAACTTGCTGGAATGAAAGTATTTTCAAAGATAGACCTAAAATCAGCTTACCACCAAATACCAATAAATGAAAATTTTAAAGAAGTGATGACCATAAACACACCTATAGGCCTGTTAAGGTGGAAAAGAATGCCGTATGGCATAAAAACGGCAAGTGCAATTTTTCAAAAAGCTATTGAAAAAGTAATAGGAAATGTTGAAAATACCATCTGTTATCAAGATGATATATGTGTTGGAAATTTAAATGAAGATGATTTAAAGAAAAAAACTGAAAATATACTGAGCCGGCTAAGAGACGCTGGTATGACAATAAATACAAAAAAAAGTGTGTAACCAACAGTAATGAAATATCATTTTGGGTTACTCAATATCAAAGGAAGGATCTCTCCAGATAAAGTACTAATAGAGAAAATTCTAAAAGTTGCTACACCGAAAAATAAAAAAGAGTTGGAGTCCTTCTTAGGTTTGGTAAATTTTTATAGAAAATATGTAAAAAAAATATAATGAGTTGACAGAACCATTTGCTAAGTTAAGAAAAAAAAAATGTGGAATTCATTTGGTTAGAACACCAACAGAAAGCCTTTGAAAACTTAAAACAGATTCTGGCAAAAAAGCCAATAGTACAAATTTTTTGACCCTAAGAAGGACATAACTCTAACTACTGACACTAGTGAGCAGTCCATATCTGGTATTTTGTCACAAGATGGGCATCCCATAATGTACTTATCGAGGAGATTAACAACAACTGAACACAATTATTCGAATATAGAAAGGAGGCACTAGCCATAGTGTGGACAACAGATAGAGCAAGACAGTTTTTCATGGGAAAAAAATTCTTGTTGAAAAGTGATCACAGACCACTGGAATTTATTTTCAACCCAAGAAAAGAGCTACCGAAAGTTACAATGTCCAGAATATTACGTTGGGCAATTAGACTGATGGCGTTCGATTTGGCATTGAATATGTTAAAGGGAATACGATACTGCACATTGATGCCTTATCTAGATTGAGGTTTTATAGAGAGGAGAAGGACAAAAACGACGAGGAATTTGAAGACACATTCTTGCACCTTGTAGAAACCGATGTTTATATCTGTAGATAAAATGGCTACTGAAACTACAAATGACCCAGTGTTAAATAGAATAATGTCGAGGATAAAACAGAATCGCTGGGGAAATTGTTCAATGGCTGAAAGACCATTCAAAGAAATCAGACATAAAATGACTATAGAAAACGGGATAATATGTAATGGAGACTTGGTAGTTCCCCCAGAAACACAGAGGAGACAGGTTATAAAAAAGTGTACACGATGATGTACATTGTGGAGTGGCAGCTATGCAAAGAAGATTAAAATTGGAAGCGTGGTGGCGGGGTACTCAAGAGACGTAGAAGACTACGTAAAAAGATGCAAAAAATGCACAGAACTCAGGAATTTTAAGCAAAAGAAAATACATGTATGGCCCCCGAGAAGTAGAACCATGGAGCAGAGTACACATGGACCATGCCTATGTCAATGGGATAGGACTATTATTAATATTAGTAGACGCATATTCAGGTTGGCCTGAAGTGGTGAGAGTACCTGATAAAAAAAAAGTACCACCGTAAAAAACAAATATTAAGAGTAATATTTTCGAGGAATGGGACACGAGAACATTGGTGACTGATAACGCACCAGAATTTGTGGATGCTGATTTGCATGAATGGCTAAGAAAAATAGGATGCAGACCTTACAAGACCCCTCCCTACCACCCTCAAAGTAATGGGACAGCGGAAAGGATGGTCCAGACGGTAAAGAAGGGCATAAAAGCATGCTTGCAACAGAAGGAGGAAATTGATGCTTTTCTACCAAGACTATTATTAAGTTACAGAACAATTCCACATGCAGGCAGGCAGGCCGGAAAGTCCATCTGCCTTAATGGGCAGACAATTAAGGTCCCCTTTGACTATGTCATATGCCACAAATCAAAAGATGTGATACAAAATAAATAGGAATATGCAACCTGAGTCAGCCGAATTTATTATGCAGAAAGGACATAATACTGCAATATTAAATAAAGAAAATGGGAACAGTGTTCTAGCTCATGCTGACCAAATAAGATCCCAAGGAGAAGAATCGGATGAGGAAATGCCTCCAGAGATGCCCATTATTGACGTAACAGAAGAGTTAATGCAGAATGAAACTGCGGTGGAAGAAGTAGAGAGGGATGAGTTAGAAGAGGAAGAAGTAGAATGGGACAAATTAGAAGAGAAAGACCAGAGTATGCAAGAGGAACACTTCGATTATAGGGAAAGACGTGATAGATCTAGATCTCCAAGGGAAGGGAGAGATAAAGGAAGATGTTCAGGAGGGCACAAGAAGAAGTACAAGAAGTACTGCATGCATAAGGCCCTCCATTATAGGGAGATGTAGTGAGATGCAAATTAGTATAATTTGCATATGAGCAGGTAGCTCATATGATAAACGGACACCAACTAGAACAGAGGTCGAACGCTTACTTAGCAATATACATGACACAACAATACTCCATAAATACCTATATTTCTATTTCTATTTCTCGGTCAATCAATATGTGAGTAAATTATTAGTGTTCTTGTTAGGTCAATGACCTATTGTACTTCAAAGAAAACTGGCTAGTTCAGGAACCAGACCAGACCTTGTCACAAGCAAAATCAACATCTGATACCTCATCTTCAATATCAAAGATATCCATATCATGCAGATATCTTGTGCATTGAATATTAAATCTAAGATATGTTTTTATACGTCTTAATGTAATATTTTTGGATTTGAAAGTGATTTCTTTTCTATTTTAAAATGTATCTCAGATTTTAACCTGTTAATATTACATTAAGACGTATAAAAACATATCTCAATGCACATGAAACATGATTAATCAATGAAAATCAAACAACACAATAGTAAACATAACTAAATTTCTTTCTTCTTTTTCTCCATATCTCATTCTCTGATGAAGCTTTAATAAAAGTGAAACATGTTAGATTGATAAACGTTTCCTATTTGTTCTTTATCTTGTCATATCTTACATTATAAATGTAAATATTGCTAGAATATTTTACATAGTGAAGATCAGAGAAGAAAGAAATATAGCTGTATGGCTAACTTAAATATCTATTAATAGAGCTTTTGTAAGTCTAATTGATAACATGCTGTTATGGCAAGACAGACACATGAGGATAAGATATGAGAATTCAAATCTCACAGAAAGTTTATTCTTCATTTCTGATCTATACTGTTTGCTTAGCTGTTGTGAACTGGAAAGATGCAATAAAATGTAACAGAAATAAGAAGAAACAAATATTTGCCAAAGAGTAATATGAGGGTGTGCTGAGAAGTTCTTGATCTGACCAAAAAGGCATTCCAAAAAAATTATGTTTGGTCAGATTTTGGGAAGTGAGGTTGGTCAAGAATTTTCCAGCACCACCTCATAATAACTATTCAGTTTAATAGAAAAATAACATCAGAGTCTCTCAGTTGACAGGTTTTGACTTTTAAGAATTTCTTTATTATATGAAGAGTTAAAAGAGAATTTTTATTTTTTTCTTCTCACCTTACACACATTATCACTTTTGCTTTGTTATTGTTGATTTTCTTTATCCCTCAGGTGTGTTACTTGCACAGAAATTCTTTATTCATCCCCCACAGCAAATTGTTCTTGTAATGCACCTTTAAAATTGGTAAGAAAGACAAAAAATAATTTATTTGTAATATATTTTTCTGTATTATATAAAAATGTTAATCTCATATTGAAAATATACAATCTGAAAAAAAAAGCTTGAAAAATATCAATTCTTTTTTCTTTTCTTTTTAAGCTTAAAATATTTAAAAGGTATTGATAAGAAACAATTATTTATAATCAAAAAATAAGTGACAATTTTAAATTCTCTACCATAATATATTTATAGATTTTTTTTAAAGTCATTAATGTGGACATTAATGGATTATGAGTAGAAACCTATTATTAATTTTATAAACCTATAATTAATACTGGATTTTATGGTGGGCATTAATGTGTTAAAAAATAAATCCCTTGAAAATATTGTAAAATAGTGTAAGTCATTGAGAATAAAATGATTTTTAAATGATTTATAAAGGTATAGAAATAAATATTTGAACCTGAATAAGTCTTAAAAAGATTTGGAAATAGAATGTTTGATAGCTGTTTATAATTTTCTTTGTCCAATAAACTTAGTGTAATGGCGGAACACAGAAAATTCACTTTTATTTAATAGATTGTCATTTATTTAGACTTAAAATGCAGAATCAGAAGAAAATGACATTTTTTTTCTGTAATTGATTCAAACAAAAAACAAATCCTCTTTATTATATTTCAGTTGACTACTCTAACCAGTGTGGTTGTAACTCCTCACCCTAGTTACTTTAAAGTGTTCAAAAGTCAGGGATAAATAAATGCCCTATAAATGCTTCCTGAGAATGAACATCCAATACTGACTATTGCTAGTTGCTTTATATATATATATATATATATATATATATATATATATATATATATATACTGTATATTTTGGCAGCATATTTTCATTTAGACATGTTTATTTATCCTCAACAATATCTTTGCATAATCACACATAAGCTTTATTGTTTTGTGATTAAACTCAGACAACTACTCCTGATCAAATAAAACAAATTATGCATAGACTTTCAGAAATCACTAATAAATCAAAATGTCAACACCAGTTAAAGAAAAAAAAAATGAATGCACTATATAAAGGATCTATCTATCTTCTGAACAAAATGAATAAATTTATCAATATTTCCAACTATGAATTAACTAACCATAAAAAGGAATTACTCACCCTCAGACCTAACTGTCAACTATACTGCAAAAATAATAGTTTAAATAAAAAAAAAATGAAATAGAAATGTTGTATCAAAGTATAGAAAAACTTCAAGAGGAACTGATAACAACTAAACCAGAAACAAGGACCTACTCAAAGCTGTAAAAGATAGACATGACAAATGGAAAAATTCTTCTAAACTACTAACTAAACCATTAAAAAGATCACTGTCAAGGAGTTACGTAAACATTCAGATATAATTGTGAAGAAAGCAGACAAAACAAACATCTTTGTAGTTTTAAACAAATCTGATTATAATACAAAGACAGAACAAATGCTTGATGACCACATCAAATTTCTAAAAGTTAAGAGGAATCCTATTAACAAGCTGAAATTAAAAATCAACAAACTAATCACAGTCAATAATGCAGAACAAGACATTTTAAAACTTCTCAAAATGATTGATGATTATAAACAAGGTTACATTTATGGAACCATAAAAACACACAAACTAAACTTTCCTCTCTGTACTATTATATCCCAAATCCCTATTCCTGTTTATCAACTAACAAAAATTATTAACCAACTTATTACACCACACATCTCCAGTAAATACAGCATCAAATCAACTCTTGAATTAATCCAGATCCTAAAGACAAAAAAATCTGATAATGAAACCATAGTGTTGATGTTAAATCTATTCATCAATGTCCCAGTTAGAGAACTGATCAACATAATTATAAGAAATATATACAATAATCCATCCCTCCTTCCATTAAAAATTAGACCCAATATATTGCTGATGAACAAATAAGGCAATCTATTACACATTTTAATATAAATCAAATAGAACATAATACTTTCTCAAATAACTCCAGACATATCAATCTTCTATGTTGTAATCAGATGCATTCTAAGTGTAAACAAGATGAAAAAATCCTAAAAAAACTCAGTGATACTAATATATCCCCCACAGATCCCAGTAAAAAATAAAATTAATTATGTACTATACTAAATTTAATACAAATAACTTAATCATCCTTAATAACTTCTTCCCACCAATTAATGTATTGTCGAAAACCAACATTATAAATAAATTAAATGCCTTTTGGGAGATTGCATCTCTGACAAAAAAGCTAATGTATATGTTGGTTATTCTGCAACAATGTTATCAAGATGGCTCACTCTACATATGAATGATTCACTGTCCATTGCACAACATCTGCAAAAACATTTCCATCCACATTCACAATTTAGAAGAATATTAGTTGACAATACCTGTATATTCACCAAGAACCTAATAAGTGGAAACTAGAAATTTATTAAAAAATTAAATACAACACTTACCAAAATTAATTATGAATATAGTACAAATGTCCTGAAATGCTTATAGTGTATAGTTTTTTTAGAAATATCTATGTTAAAACTAAATGTTTTTTTAAAAATACTCAAACTATAACCTAACAAGAATTCAATTTTTAACTAAGTTACCTCCATTACACTAAAATTTTTACAACATGCAAAAATTTTAAAATCCCCATTTGTGACTTTGTGCATGACCTGAACTGTTAAGTTTAACCACAAAGGCCAAAATTTACTTCAGGCAAACACAACTATTTGTCTTAGCCATCATAACCCTGAAGAATTGGAATATATCAAAAGTAATCAGAAAAATAAAAATGAATAAATATAACCATGGTACCTTCCTTGCTCTCATTAATCATGAAAAAATAAAGCTTATACATGATTATGAAAGAATATTGTTGAGGATAAACAAACACAACATATCTAAATTGTTTAATCAGGCATGTTTATATATATATATATATATATATATATATATATATATATATATATATATATATATATATATAAATAAACATGTTTAATTGAATAATGTAGACATGTTATGTAACACTATTTTGGTTGTTGGTAATTAATAAAAACGGCTTTACTGATAAATAAACTACCATGAAAGTGTTAATGAGTACCAAGAACGATAGACTGATATACAATATGTTCCCAGAGAATCAAAAATTCTAAAATGAACCAAATGCCCGGCTAAGAACAATACTTAATTGTACAAAAGAAGGCGAAGTGTTGACAATTGGTTGATTATGCCTGCAGTGTGTCTGTGGTATAAAGATGAGGAGAATTTGATAAAATTTTAAATGCCAGCTAGAGGTAAAAATGTTACTTGAGGAATGTTTCTAAGATGAACCGAAGGACATGAGACCCAGGTGTCCCGTGTCTGATTTTGGATGGGTAGGAAATCTAAAACTGACTTGGTGAATCTTTCTACAGAGATTTCAGGATTGAAAACAATAACTACCTGACTTTTTTTTTTTTTTTTAATAAAAACACAAGGCAATATCTTGACCTTCAGCCAAATGATTGCCACCATAATGTAAGTTGCAAGATTTTTGCTGGGAAAGTGTCTCTGGGTCGAGGGGGAGAAGACCAATTGTTTATTCAACTTTCAGACCAGAAAAAAAATCAATATTGGTATCACTTCACTTATTATTTGGAACAATAATTTTTTTTTTTTAAATTAGTTTTCGCTGAATGGTTGAGATAAAGGCATGAAAGAGAGATCAAGGAAGGAGTAGGAGCTGCCTGCACCCACTGAAGGGTAGCAGGCACAGATGAGACACCAAGGTAGTGAGGGAGATGCCCATGCCCACTGAGGAGTATTGGTGGGAGATGCTAAGAGGAGGAGGAAGAAGCTGTGGGTGGAATAATGCATACAACCATCATACAAGAAAAGTGAGGGATTTCAAAATTGGAAAATGATTAATTTCTCGGGACCAAAAACAATGAAGACGACAAGTGGAGGAAATACCAATTTCCCAACTGCATCACCTACCCCCATAACAGTTTTTTGGCAGACATCAATAAATACGAATGTGAGAGACAAAAGAGAAAACATCCTGAGACTCCATTCCAGCGGTTGAGCATGAGACAACACACATGACATCAGCCTTGAGTCAAACTTATCAAATCAGCTAAACAAATTTTGCTAAGTTCACAAGCTAAACCTTATCAGTTTAACTAAGTGTCGCGTTGGATCTAGGAACGGGTTGGGTGGACCACTAACTGGATGCTAACACCTAGAACCTAACAACTAATTTTACTGTACGTCTTTGCTCTGCTTGGACCAGCCCAATACAAAGATACCTACGACGAGTCGATCTTGACCTCCTTATGATCAACCAATCACAATGTGGAGTAAGGCAGGTCAGGATCGAAGAGATCGCTCCATCAATCAGCGATGGTATTAGACGTCTTAGACAACCAAGGAGGGTATAGAGTTACAATTGGTTCCCATGAACCATAAGCCCGACACTGAAGGCGTTACATTATGTTTTTATATTATTTTTATAATAATCCTTTCTAGCTCTCCAATTAGCTTCTTGATAATTTGAAATTCATCAAGAAAATAATTTATTTTTTGTTATCCCAAGTACTTTCGATCTTCTCAGATCGTCCTCAGGAGTGAATTGTGAAGACAAACTTAATGCAAATGTGATTGTTGTGATGGTGAACAAAATTTATTATGAATGCAGTAGCAATGTTTTAAAATGCATTTAACTAACATGTAACACCATGTTGCATTTTTACCATCTCTGTTTAGCTCTTTTACATTGTGGGCACTTGTTTACAAAAAACATTTTAGCTAGAACAAATAAATTAAAAATTTTAAAATAATTATAACAGAGTGCATACACATGTATTTATAAAAATCACCATCAGTAGCAATCACAGTTAACATCAGGAAGCTAATTAGAAAACTAGAAAGATTATTATAAAAAAATAGACATAGTATGTCTATATTATTCAATGAAACATGCTTGAATTAAGATATACTACCTATATATATATATATATATATATATATATATATATATATATATATATATATGTATGCCAAAAGTTTAGGGTATTCAGTGAATTTTTTTGACTAGTATTCCATCTTAATTTTAGTTGCTTTTCATCACAATTACTTATATTGTTATTCTATGGGCATTAGTAAGCAACATAGATTGGAAAAAAAAGAAGTGTGGATTGTATAATGGTTAGTGGTTTGGAAAGAGAAATTGACAAATCATGTTTGAATTCTGGCTAAGTTCATTATGTTCAGTTTTGCACAAATACCCTTGGAAAGTCATGGAACTGTTGGCCTGTAAAATTGCACAATAATTAAAATTCTTAAGTCACATGAGTGGTACTGCAGACGTAGATAGTATCTACTTTATAGATGAATAAAAGATATTTTCTTGGTGAGACTTAAACTCCACTCTCTTTTTCTTGGGGGATGCCTATCTTACCATGATAGCTGTTCTTACTGAATGAGCTACAATAGCTTACAGCTGGCAATAAGTGTAGGACACCCAATGAAAATCAAATTCACTTCAGCAGTAATGACCTATAAGATTAGCTCGTTAATCTCTACTCAATGGTGAAGTTCTTTAACCACTAAATATAGTTTAGTATAACTTAATGTCAGAAGTATAGAGTATCCATTAAGGAACAACATCACTAAAATAGTAATTATCTATGAGATAAACTTGTAAAGTAAGTGTCCTGTATTGTTTATATAAGTATACATGTATGAAGTAATTCTGTTTTCCTGCTTTCTGACTATATTTCATTAGTAATTCTTCATAATAAGCAAGAATAATATCTTACTATTCAGATTTCATTGTTAAAGCTTGAAAAATGGACTTTTTAAAAATATAAAAGGTGAAAGAGCAAGTATAAGAAAAGTAAAGTGATGAATTGAAAAAATATAACAGCAAAAAGGAAGTAAAAAAATGGGCTAACTGGTTATTGCTTCTCACTCTTCAGAACAAAAGAAATATATGCACAATAACTAAAAAAAGCGAGTGGGGTGATTACTACCAGAGAATCAGTACTATAAATTACAGTATTCAGGCTCTTCCTTCCTTTTGTTGTATATTTTTAAAATGTTTGTTCTTAAAGCTTTAATAAAATTTTGTACCCTGATTCCCATATTTCATTGTAATATTTTTCTTCAATTTCAGGCATATAATACATGTGTAGCAGAAATCTTGAGTAACCCAGTATTTACTATACAATTAGTGGTAAGTAGATCATTTGAAGCTGGATGTGAAGTTAATTTAATTTTTATTTTTGCATTGCGAAAAGAAAACAAATTTCAGAAAAAAAAGTATTGGCAATACATTATCTGTCTATACTTCTGAGATGAGGTATTATGTACACTATTTACATTATTTGGACTATTGTCCTCATCTTTGTCACCATATTTATTACAGTGTTTTGGCCGTTGTATGCTCTGGCCTTCTTCAGGTGGTTGGAATGTCGAACTGAACCTTTTATTTCGCTCACTGGGCTTGACTGTTCTAGTTCCATGTGCCATGTTTAATGGATGTCAGTTATCAGTTATCTCCTGTTAATTCCCCTCTCCAAGTTCTCCCTTGCTTAACTGGGTATTGAACTCACACTCTTTGGATCCTGTCACAGGATCTAACCAATGCCTTTATCCACTGTGCCATATGTCCTTGAGGACAATAGTCTGAATAATGTAAATAGTGTACCAATACATTGTTTGGGTAATGGGCAGAGGATCCTCCCAAGAGGAATCAATAGCCATGCATTTGTGACCAAGGTGAATTTTGTTGGAGGACATCAGCTGTGTTTTGTCCCGGGAATAGATGTGCTCAGCAATGTGTGTTTGCCCAAGATATACTATGCATGAATGAATACCTCTTCAGCTTTCAAACCCTATATATATGGAGTGAACTGGACAGGTGCTCAGCAGTATATTGACCTTATGACCGCTGCCGACCATGGGACTGATGATGAATTGAGCTTTGTAATTGTCTACATGACTTTCATCTTTATATGTGTGTGTTTATCATCTTTTACCCTATCATCTTTAATTGGTTAGTTTTAGTTTATTTCTTTAGCCTTCATAAGTTGTATTTTTTCTTATTCACCTCTGTATACGTTTTAAATAAACTAGGAGTTTACACTATTTGTATTAATATCATCAGCATAGCCACTTAAGTAAAATGGAATTTTACAGTGAATCAGACTTTATAACTTATTAAAAAGTATATCAAATGAGAAAGAATTTTGAAGTTTACAACTAGGTATATATTAAACATTGCACAGCTATTGACGGCCCCCAAGGGTTCTGTCTACTCAATTTCACTCGCAAGGCTTGGTTCAACCCATGGTATGGTTTTCAGGCACTTTCCAAAGGTGCAGCATGCTGGGATCAACCTCTTCAGTTCAATAATATCAGGAAGTTTTCTTACTGACAAATTGACCATGGTGAGATTCGAACACGGGTCTCATGGTCAGAATGTGAACATTCTAACCACTCGGCCACATGCCCGTGCATAGTCTGATACAAAGCCACACATTGATGCTGTTTAAGATAGTTGATTAGATAAGGTGGATCTTACATTGTAAATTAACTGTAAGCTTAAAAATGGCTATTAAGCTTAGTGTCATCTTGCACAGGGTCATAGTAGTGGTGCCACCTAGTGAGTATCAAACTCACTACATTATCATATTATTCTGTTCCTGTTTACTAAGTTTAGCTTAATACAATACAAGATCATAAGGATCGATCACCCAAAGTGGATTTAACACCTTATACTTTCAAATTGCATATTAGCTTATGTGCCAAGGTGATTTGCTTACCATAGCAATAGTTTTACTAACATAGCAGATACTGATATACATTTACTTATTTACTTAGATCAGAGCTGGTGTGAGGGTCTTGTACCCCACCAATCTATGACATACCTCCCTACTCTACTACATCTCAATTTTCATAAGGTAGTATTCATATAAAATACAAATTTTATTGTAACCTAATTATGTATAATAATGTATCATATGCAATATAGATGAACAATTCAACTAGAAAAATTGAAAATAAATACATATTAGAGGCATGTCATAAGATCATTCCATCTTAAATAAATCAATGTTTTGTGCCAATTTTTAACATCAACTTGAGATTTTGAAAAAATGGAATAATTTTAACACATTCAACATTATGCATAAAAAATAAAGAATTTTATATAGTGTTTTTTCAAAAAAATTTTTGCATGAGCAAAACAAATTTATAGATTTGAATAAAAAAAAAAAAACAACTCAAAATTTTTCATCCCATAATAGTTGTGCTTAGTTTAATTTATAATGTATATATATCTAGGTTGAAAATAGCAAATGTTGATAGATAGCATGGGTTACAAAGCATTGCCCGAGATCCCCAATCAGTCTTGCCGAGGTAGTACACACTGGCCCTGACTCAGATTAGTATGCATCAAAGTCACAACTGTGTGTTTCCCAGCAAGGACAAAATTCACTACAACATGTGAGTCTTTAAGACTTACTTGTTAATTATTGCTCTATGATGAGGTGCCTCTTATACATAATTGTTGTTTATGAAAGCAAAAGGAAAAAATATAATAGTTTTGTCTTGTATATTATTTGTGTTAACTTATGAGAAAGTCTATTGGTGTGTAGCAGACTGTGGGTTTATGTGTTGTTAAATTAGGAACACGTGTGTAACTCCTGATACAAGAATATGGCGGAATCAAGTTGAGTCCAACCAAAGATATGTAAAGAAAACAAACAAGACCTGATATATATATATATATATATATATATATGCAAACAAGTATATGTATTAAACAACAAAATTTACAGTGGGCAAAGACATCAACATTTGTGTTTGTGTGTGAAAGTAAAGATTTTGTATTTTGATGAATGTTTGTACATATGTGTGTGTGTTTGATGGTGTTTTCCCACAAGTGGGCAAAATGCAAATCTCTGTGAGAGATCACATCTTTTAAGTGTGTCTGCTGAAATGCAAAGTAAAAAAAGAACAAAGTAAGAAATTGCCCAGTATTTATAGTGTAGGGAAAGTATGCCCTAGTGAACAATTTGGACAATTAAGGAGGAGTTAACTCTGACAGGTGTAGGAATATTAAATCTGTTTCTGTATAATTCTTAAAGAATCAGAATTCAAAATATCAATTTTAAACATGAATGGTGGTAAGAATATATCTTGGAAATTTTACTAGCATTGTCAACCATTATTAATTTGTGACTAATATTTCTTTCATCTTAATTTTAGTTGCTTTTCATTGTAGCTATTTAATAATAATAATAATTTATAATATTTAAACTAATCATTCTATGACAATTAATAAATAAGGAAGAATATTATCTTGAATTTTATGATTAGGTAAAGTATTGGAAACTATTATCAATTTGTGACTAGTATTTCTTTCATTTATGTTTAGTTGCTTTTCATTGCAACTACTATGCTTCCTTCTATGGCCATTAATAAATAATATATATTAGAAATAGTCTTTCAGTAAGACTCAAATTCACCTCCCTTTTACCTGGGGGAAGCCTATCTTACCATGACAACTGCTCTTACTGATTGAGCTAAAAGAGCTTTATAGCTGGCAAATGAGCAAAGTGTTTAAACTTACATTCTCTACAAATGTTTTCAAATTAAGATGAAACAAATATTAATCAAAACTGGCAGTGTTTTGTTTTTATTCACATGTAAGGATGGCACTGACAGTTATATTTTTTTGTACTTCCCAGTTTTAATAAAGAAATAAGTATTTTTTCTTTTTTTTTTTTCTTTTCAGAATGGAGAATCTCCCGAGTCGAATTTCCTTAAAAATAATCTTCCAAAAGCCTATGGCCAATGTAAGGTATGTAATAACATTTTTCAACTATTAACCTAATCATTTGTTTTCAGAATAATTTTATGAGTAGGTCCATTGGGACTTACCAGAATTAATTTATTAGGTGAGGTTCAAACAAGAAAAATTGAAAATAAGCATGTTATTTTTCATTATCATTCCAAGTCAGTAGTTTTCAACTTGGATCTTGTAGGGTTTTACAAGATTTTCAAATTTGAATATTCTGAGATAAACAAAAAAAAAGGATTAAAAAAAATATGAAAGATATCAATACACATCACCAAACTCAAATTTCCTATTAAAAGCAACTTAAAGTAAAAATCAGTTGAAACTGTTTTTAATTTACAATTATGTATATGAAAGGCACTGGGAAGTTTAATTTGATTGTAAATAACATTCATTCATACAAAGTTATTAAGAACAAAAAGAAAAAGGGCTCATCATCATTTCAAATGTTAAGTTTCAAAGCAGAAATCTCTCCTCAGTACGATAATCTTCCAACACCCATGTTTAAAATGTGACTTTTATGTTGTACTAAGTTAAACTAGTAAATATTAATAATCGATTTAAAGTGTTTTATTTTGCATTGATGCCTCTCAATAATACTGGCATGTTTAAGCAGATTATGAATAACATGGATGTATTGGCAATATGTACCTGCAAAAAAATGATGATGTGTCAAGGACGGTTTTTCTCTTGACTTTGCTATCAATGTATACTCCGTCAGCAATTTTTGTTTTCAAAAGATATTTTTAGAATTTTAATAAAACCCAAACATATGAAACTAGATTTATGTAATCTTTTTTTCCAAGGATTAACAAAAAAATTAAACATTATTTTACTAGATTGTTGATTTACAAGAATAATTTTATATTTATAGTTTATAAAAAATTTGCAAACCATCTACAATATTATTTATTATTATTATTATTTATAATTTATTATTATTTACCATATTATAAAGAAATAACTATGAAGAGAAATTTTTTTTTTTTTTTGTTCATAAATGTTATATCCCACGTTGTTGGAATGAACAAAAACGAATGAAAATAAGACAAGTGTATTTTAACACATAATAAAATAACTTTTATTCATTTATTGCCTGAGAACAGTGAGGGTTAGTTTGGATTTAAACCATGAATTCCACATGTCTGTCACCACGTGTAATTCAGAAGTGCCCGCTCCAACTAGCGGACAAGGGAAGTAACGCTTTTGTATATTGAGTTATTGTTTTTTATAAGTGGAATAAGTTAGCATCCCCTAACAATAAATTTATAAAAATGTCTGTGAACAAGTACATTTAAATAAACACAAGACTATAATTATAAATTTTTAATTAATGCATTTTCCAGGCATTTTTTTCATTAGTTCTTGCCACATAAATTAACTAGAAAATGGTTATGAGTATTTGGATTCATGTTTTTTCTTTATGATTGACAACAAAAATGTTAAACATTACTTATTAAACAGTTTATTTACAAGAATAGCATTTAATTCTTTTGCTGTCTATTTTTGAGGAAAAAAAAAAAGAGAATGTATAAATCCAGTTTTATATGTTTGAGTTTTATTAAAATTCTAAAAATAACTTTTAAAAATAATAAAAATTGTTGCAGGAGTACAGAAAAAAGAGAAAAATTGTCTCTTTAATACACCCCTCTTTTTTTTTTTTTTTTTTTTTTTTTTTTTTTTTCAGGTATGTATGTTAAACTTTGCCGACGTATTATTGTAAACAACAAATGATGAAAATAATTGTTAAACACATTATATTTTCCTCTTATTTATCATTATTACTCATCTCTTTGGATATTTCTCTCTGGAATTTGAAAATTGAAAAAGAGGACCCTGATCTTTTTTTTTTTTTTTTCAGGTTAATCTTAGTAATCAAAAGGCATGTCAAACTTTGGGTAATATGTGTGTCCTGTTGTATTACAATTATGAAGGGCGTAGACAAAAAAACATGAAACAGGCCTGCCAACTGTTTCGATCCCTTAGTGCTCTGGCTCAAAGGCGGTATGCTGTTGATGCTTGGTATGTAGGATTTTTTTTTTATTCACTCATTGAATCATGATCAGTGAGTTAATGTGAATTTTTTGAGTAAAATTTATTTGATTGTATTTTTTTGTTTTGTTTTTTTTTTCTTTTTTTTGTTTTTTAATAAAAACATTAAAATGAACTATCTTCTAAAAATGTCTACATAGATTTGATTTAAATTATTAATGCTTTTATATCCAGGTACATACATAAAGAATAGCCTAGGATTTGCTAGAAGTATGTATAATCTGGAAGATGAAGCCAAGCCAGAATAAAAAAAATAAAGTAGAGTAGTTTACTAGAGAGGGACCTAAAATTGAAGATCTGACCTGTAGTGGTATGCTCCCTCTCTCTCTCAACATTATCATTTAAAGATTGAAGACGTCAAGTACATTCTTAATCATTCAAACACAAAACCTTGGCAGATATATGGACATCTCTTAATATACATCACTTTCTGATTATTATCTTGGTAGATAACTCCAAGTTTCCTTTCAATTCTAATTCAAAACTTTGTTTTTTTTCTTTTATTTAAGCTTTTATTTTGCATTTATCTCTATTTAAAAATAATAGCGATAAAAGCCAATGTGGTAGAAAGCTAATGAGGTCAGCTAGATTGTGCATCTTCACACATCAGATACTAGAAATTAAAAATTAATGTATTATTATGACCAATGTTTGTTATATTTCATTTCCTCCCACTACACATATGATTCCAGCAATAAAAATATTACTTAATCTGAAGAAATCCTTTCAAAGGATTTGAACACAACACACAGGATTTTTTCCATTTTGTCATTCACTTACCCATTCTCTCTATCATTTCCTGACTCTTACTCTGTCATACAAGTTGTGTATCAGACAGACCCACCTGGCTCTGTGTTGGCACAACCTATACAGCAAAGTGGTTTTGAGAAATGCCCTGAAACATCACATGCATTCAAGCTGATGATTGTAGACAACCAGCAGGCGACTCCAATATACAATATAAGATCTAAGTAAAATATCAGTGAATAGCTGAGAAGAACAAAAGTTATGTAGATATTGTATATATTATGACTTGAAATGGAGAATTTGATTTAGAGAACCAAGGAATAGTTAACTAATTTAAGAAAGTTATAATTATTTCTCTTGATGAGTTTTGATGTTTTTCTGTGCTTTCTGATAGCTTGTGGTTGGTTGGTTGATTTTGTTTAGTGGCATATCAACCCCTATGGGTTATTTAATGTCAAAATCTAAATATTTTGTATGCAATTTTATGGCTTCAACTATTGATATTTTGTACATAATTTTTTACTTTATTGTAAATATATTCCTGATATAAATGAACCTACAATATTGTGGCTTTGTTTTTTAAATTACCCACTTATTTCTTTTTTTGATTCTTAATTTCCTCAGAGATTTCTTTTGTTTTCTATACATGAATTAATTTCAGTGACATCCACTGTATTTGTTTCCTAGCAAAAGGGACTTCATTTATTAATAAGATGCAGATTTGGCAGGCAAATAAGAACTGAAAATAAGACACATCATGACATTTACAAAGAATTTATTTAATACCCAACATAAAACTACAGATTCAGAGTTAAAGGTTCTCTTGTATTGTGTCCATAAAAAGTTACAAATGGTTTTCTTGTTGGAAATGTTAGTTAGTGTACAACAGCCATACTTATCTCATCCTGGGTAAGACGTTAAACTACATCCGTGTCCTAGGTAAGATGATAAACTACATCCAGCAGCAAGGCCTCTGATCAGAAGGTTTTGAGGAGTGTGGAACCACCTCTTAATTGCTGGTGTTCCCAGGTCCACCCTGACCCGGGGTGGTAGCATCTGTTAGGGTCCTTGCTACAGGCAAATAGTTAACTATTACCAGCAATGCATTTTTGAAAAAAATCTTTACCAGCAATATAATTTGGAAGGAAAAATATTACAAGAAACAGATTTTTGACAAAACAAAATATTACTAGCAATAAAAAATTTTGTCGGCATTAAATAACCTATTGAGGTTGATATGCCGTAAAACAAAATAAACCAAACCAAACCATACTTATTACAATTATGTGATATGTGTAAGATTATTATTTATGTATATGCTTTATGTTCTTGTGTGTTTTATTGATGTTGATGTATCCATTTTCACTTTTCATCACAATTTCTTAAGCAAACCAAAAACAAATAACAGAATATTTAAACACAGTTCAGTGTGTTTTCCACTTATGTGGGGGCCACACATTAAAATGACTAACATAACTAAGCAGGTTTACAGCTCTTGATTTGCATATTTTAAGTATATTGGTTATTTCCTGCATCAGAATATATTGACTATTTTCAAGTAATGTCTTGGTTTTTTTTTTTTTTTTTAATCATTTCACCCTAAGTAAGGCAATAAAGCTGCTAAGATGCAAGGGGGGTTACTGTGTGTGAAAGAATATGAGAAGAAGAAAAACATTATTAAGGAGAGGGAACAATAAAGGAACAGGAATTAAGACAGAAGATAATGATTGAGATTGCATTACAGTTTTTTTGATTGGAAAGTGAAAATAAAAGACAGAGAAACCGTTAGTATAGAACTTAAGGTTACATCTAGCAATTTAAAGTGCACTTAAATGTTCCATCTTCGGTTTCAAAATTTCCAGAAAAGAAGTTGATACACCATTTCTCTATAGGCACTTGTCACCCAGTATTTTCATCATGCACTTGTGAGTTTTCTTCTGTAGAAACAGGAATTTCACAACAACCCAAAGTTCAAACTTTTCTCTTAACATGTTTCTGTGAATCATCTGAAACAAATACACAAAGAAGTGCAAGCCCCCCCCCTTCCCCACAATTGGCTGTTATTTTACAAAATAAGAAAACAATTAAGTTACAGTGACAAAATAATACTCAGCATTTTGGGAAGTGGATCAGGCCAAGAACATTCCAGCAGTCCATTGGAAGTACTTGATCTCAAATTAAATAAAATTCTTAGTTGATAATAATAACCATAACTACTATTAGGAAACAAAATTTTGCATTACAAACCAAACCATACTGTATGTTAATTTATCTAAAAATCATTTGTCAAATTTTAGCACCTTTTGAAACAGCCATGATAGTACTTAAACACTAGTTAATAAAGACCAAAGAAATAACATCAAATACAATACACTATTTTATCCTTCATTTGTGGAAGGAAAGTACCATTTTGCATTTAGTAATGCTCAGATATAAAACATGTACAATGAAAACTGAATCTTCTGTTTGAATTTCTTGGATAAGGAATAATTTACATAATTACATTTGGACTATTTTCTTCATCTTTGTTGTTATTGTTCTCATTCCACTGTCCACATCTATTGTCCTGTAGTCTAATGATTGAAAGTACTGGTTTGTGAATTTGGTGACATAAAAATCATGAGTTCGATCCCTGAGCAGGGTAGTTCAGACTTAGACTCAATGGAAGAGGGCAAGCAATAAATTTTTGCAGTACTAAATAAGAACGCAATAAAACATCCCAAGACAAAGACATCTAAATGAGAACAATCTACCTTTTCCCCAATAGATTAAATTCCCCCAAAGGTTACCTAAATCAACAAGCAACTTAAGGCCAAAGATGTGATGATAATCATAAAGATGGAGACAATAGTATGAATGTAAAAAAAAAAAAAACAAAAAAAAACAAAAGAGTTGTAATTGTTTTCCCAGAAACTAGAAAAAAAAGTTTTGAATACCATGGGAGTTAAAATTCAACAAAACTTTGATTTATTTCAACTAGTTATCTCATAATAGTTGGAAGTTGTCTGAATTTCTTAGATGAAGCATTGCCATTAGTATTAATTTTTTGTCTAATTTTTTTTTTTAATTTCTGATGTTTAAAGAAAATAAATTTAACTAAGAGTACCCATGAAAAGTTTTTAAAAGTTCTCCTGCCAACATTATGATTTTTTAGAAATGCCAATGACTGGCCTACAGAAGAATGCCACAAATGTGGGGAACCCAGTTAGAAGCAAAAATCACTACAATTAATATGTAAATGAGGACTATGGTCAGGTGCCAATTAGAATTTTATACTAATCCAAACTTAGACTGAGACAAGGCCACATATATAAACCACCCCATGAGACTTCAACACATTCAAAAAAAGAATATTTTTACAAGAAAAGCTTCCTAAGTATCATGGGTTGATTCATGCCATTGTAGTTGACTGTGTTGCTTATAATCTGCCATCATTCACTGAATGTTGATGCTTGCCTATCTATATAACTGGAGAGCTGCTGCTGCTCCAGGTATTTTATTATTTGATTTGCTTCTCTAGGTGATTAAGGTTTTGTCTGGCTCCTACCTATTGATCTATCTTGCTCAGAGATAAATGCCCATCAGCTATCCAGGTCTTAGAAGCACACAAACCACTATCCCACATTATAGGTACTTACTCATGGAGTGGAAACACTCCATGATAAATCTAAGAAATACAAATTTCAAGAGGAAGCATTGTCATTATTCTTTTCTGATGAAATTTTTTTTTTTTTTTTTGTTTTTTTATTGCAATATATTTCATCTTAGAAATTCAAACAACTGAAAACAATTATGTCTATTGCTACTCTTGATTACAAATAAGCAACAGAAATAAGATGAAAGAAAAACTATTCAAAACTTAATACTGATAACACTGCCTCGTGTAAGAACATTGAAAAAAACTGAAAAAATAAATTTTAAATGAGAGCATACTTGAATAAATTCATGGATGCTAGTATATTTTGTATTGAGCATAAAAGGTTAGACATAACATCTTTGACTAGTGTGAATAACATTTTGTAGTTGAATTTTTTTCATTTAATGTTCAACATAAGTTGGCTTTACAACATTTCAGCCATTGTGAGGCTATTTAATACTGAATTTTCTTTGTGGCACCAATAAGGACCAAACAATATAAGATATGAGCTGATTTGAAATATTAACTTGCATTACTCATGTGCCTTCATGTGCTTTTTTGAGGTGCATATTCTGGATGAAGGTTTTTCCACAGAGTGCAGCAAAAGGTTTTTCTTCAGTGTGAATCTGTACATGCCTGCATAAGTTTGTCCTGTATGTGAAGGTTTTAGGACAGAAATCACAATGAAATAATTTTTGCCAGCGTGCATATTGTAATGTTCTTTCAGATAGGCCTGACGGAAAAAATATTTGAAACAAACATTGCACTTGTAAGGCTTCTCACCAGTGTGTGTTTGCTTGTGCTTTTGAAGGTGACTTTTTTGAGTAATGGCGATTTCCACAGATTTCACAAGGGAATGGTTTTCTCCTGTGTGTGTTCTCATGTGCATTTTCAGAGCTGCCTTCCACACAAAGCCAACACCACAACATTACAATGGAATGGTTTTCACCAGTGTGAATTTTCCTGTGTTCAGTCAGGTTATACTTATTTGAGAAACTTTTGCCACACATCTCACAAGTGAAAGCTGTGTTATTCTGATGCAAGATTAAGTGGTCTTTCAGATAAGAATTTCGGGAAAAATTCTTACAACAGATCTCACACTGGTACAGTTTTTCTCCTGTATGTGTTCTCATGTGCTGTTTCAGATAGTGCCTTTGAGAGAAACTCATTCCACACACTTGACAGGCAAAAGGCTTCTCTCCAGTGTGGGACCTAAGATGAGCTTTCAAGTATGAGTTCGAGAATATTTTGCTCCACAAAGTTCACAGTAGAATGGTTTCACACCTGTGTGGGTATTTTTGTGATTTCTAAGCTGAGCCTTCAATGTGAAGTGCTTTCCACATACCTCACATCCAAATGGCTTCTCTCCAACCAAATCTTCTGATGTAGTTTTAAGGATGAACTCTGTGAGTAAGACTTTCCACATATATCACATTGGTAAGGTTTTTCTCCAGTATGTACTCGATAATGTTGCTTTAAATGTGAAGAACATGAAAAGCTTGTTCCACAAGTTACACAGGGAAATGGTTTCTCTCAGTATGAACTTCGTACATGTTGTTGAAGATGCAAACTTTGAAGAAAACCAGTACCACAAAGTTCGCATGTAAATGGTTTTGTTTCCTTATGCAAATTTCATGTGTTGCTTGAGACTTGATCTCTTGCTGAAAGTTTTTCCACACACTGCACAGTTCAGGAGTTTTCCTTCAGTATTACTTTTTATATGTTCACTGATAATTTTTCATCAACAATTTCTGTCTTAGATATTTCACAATTAAAAATTTTTCTTCTGGAAGGTCGTCCATTGTTTTATCAAGAAAAATTTTAACAAGAAATCTGTGAGCAAGCACTAATTGAACCAATTTACATTCATTTGGGTACTGTTTTCCTATGAGAAGAGCTGCAAGTATTATTATAATGTTGACAGCCTGAAAAAAAAAATAAGAAAAAAAAATTCATTCTATGATAACAGTGAGCTTACTTTTTAAAATCAATTTACCTTAAGTTTTGTTAAATTTGGCATTTTTTAAAAAAAAAGAAAATGAAATATAATGCTATGATGAACTCTCTACTCTTTCAATTTGATTTACACAATATTTTAGTATTTTTTATATTGAGGTCCCTTTAAACCCAATCTTTTTAAATACAAAATCAGTTATTTTTTCTCTTTGAAGAATAGTATTATGCAAATGTATAAATAGTGTAATGAATATTTGTGCAGAAAATGGTCCCAGCAAACTGCATTGAATTCTGTGCTAGTCTGTTGCATTCACTTTTGTATGAATGCACTTAGGAAAGGCATGAATCTTTCTCCCTCTGCCACCTATTGGTTAAATAGCAGCAAAAAACTGAATTCTCCAGCCTTGGGTAGCAACCAGTCTATGAGAAACAAACTCTAAATACCCTAAAAACGACACTGGTCCAGACAAAATTCCAGTGGTTGTCCTTAAGAACATCAACCCAGAATTATCCCTCAATCCTAGCAAAGTTATTCAACCACTGCTTGAAGGATAAGTCTTTCCCAAGCCTGTGAAATGTTTTCAAAAAACACAGGTGTGTGATCTCCCCGCTGTCAATACAGACTCATCAGTTTCCTCAGTATAATCAGCAAGCTTTTTGAGGCCATAATCAACAAGAAAATCATTGGGCACCTAGAAAAGAACAAACTTCAACAATGAGCAGTATGGTTTTTGACCCACTGCTGACATCCTAACTACCATCACTCACAGAATCAGTGAAACTCTTGATGACAAACACACCTAGGGTACCATAGCACTAGATATCTCAAAAGTCATCAACAATGTGTGGCACAAAGGCTTACTACACAAGCTCTCCAGTTATAGAATGACTGGAAGGGTCTTCTAGATAATAAAATCCTCCCTAACAGGTAGGTCCCTGAAGGTAGTTCAATGTCCAGGCCACTGAATAATGTTTGAACTAATACATGCTAAAAAATTAAAAAAAACAAAAAAAAAACGATGAGCCTGGGAGCCAGCAATTGTTAAATCATTTGATAAAACAGCATGCCTTGCCAACAACAGGCAGTTCAGCTCAACATTTGACAAGACTGCTAGCTCATCCACACATCTCACCAATGTTGATTTCAACCTTGATGATAAACAGATCAACCCTGCCAATGAAATCCCACTCATGCTACCATGCGGCTTCAGTAATCCACTCCAGTCCTCTCTTGTCATCACCACCATGTCCTTGGGCAACCAGCCCAACAAATCCAACAGCTCCTGGCCTTACCAACAACACCCTTACACCAAATCGATTCCCTTACCAATGGCAACTAAAGAACTACATATGAACAAATTTATTATCTTTTTACACAATTACATATGCTGACATTGAGCATTATGCATATATTCTGAAAATTGATCAATACATGATTGTTGAAATTTTAATCTTTGTCTATTTTTTCCTTTGCAACCATATGCTAGTTATAACAATGGATTATAGGAAGAAGCCAATAATTAATATTGGATTTTTATTTTTATAATACTGGATTTTATGATGGACATTAACAGTTTAATACCTATGTAAAAATCTAAAAAAAATAATCTGTTTTTTTCTTTTAAATCAAAAGTACAGCTGTAATTGTAGAAATGTCTGTTTTATTTTGAGCTTAAGATGGGGATTTGTAGCAACTTTTTATTTTGAAATTGAGCAGATTTTGATTCTTTTCACATGTCATTTAAATATAAATTGCTACAACTTCATAGCTTAGGATGTATATATATATGTATATATATTATCTCAGATTTGCAGTGAGATAAGAAATGCAAGTTAAACCTCCTAAAAGACAAATTTTTATTTATTCACAAAATTGTAATTTGTTAGGTAAAACAAGAGAAAAAAAAAATTTGCAAACAGATAATAGCATTAAATTTGAATACAGACAGGGAACTGCTTTTCTTTTCTTTTAAGTGTTATGATACATCCTCTAATTTTCTAGTAAAGTCCAAATAAAGATAATTACTGACAAAGGCAACCTGAGAATCAGCACTTAAATATTGATAAATATTTATCTTAAATAATCTCTTCACTAAATATAGAATCAAATCAATTAATTACACTGTAGGCTTCTTGTGGAATATAGGGCCATAGCCTTACCATGCTAGGTGTTGCTGCAATGGTTTCTGTAGCAAGTAGGATTTTTATGAGATGGAATTGCTAGTCTCACACCCAAATTCTGAGTTATCCTTCTCTTAAACTGGTTGCCAATCACAATTAGAGAGCACTATCTTCCCTGAGAAGAGACAGATTTATACTCTTTCCAAGGATATTTGTACAAAAGGGAATGCAACAGCCTTGGCTGAAATTTGAACTCTGCATTTCATTCTCACTTTCTGCACTAATAATGGCTGTGTTATGTGTGCATATTGAAATAGAGACACAATTTTGCAATATATCAAATTCTGCTTGATTAATGTACATTGATTATTGCTGTAAGTTTCTTAAGGTTAGCTAATCCCTGTAAAGTTTTATAGAATGGACATGAATGTTAAGGATTTTTCTATCTCAATTTTTTTTTTCAGTGTGAACTGTCAGTAAAGGACCTGTTTGATACGGAAAAATATCCATTGGAATTTTATGACCTCTGTATCCTTTTTCTTTCTTTTCTTTGGGTATGAACTTGTATTGAAAATTACCAGTTATTAAAAAAATCAAAATTTGAGCATTTTTATTTGATATTTGTGTTTTCAATGTGAAATATTTGTCAAATTTTATTTGGAACACTTTCTTTTGGATAAATGATGATACTGCTTTTTTGATTCTTGCTCTTTTGTTAAGTGTGTTCAAAGATTCTCAATGAAAGACTTATTTTCAGTTGTGTATTTCATATCTAGTTTTCCAACAAAAGTATTCAAAACTTTTACACACACCTTATATAATTTTATCATTTTGAATTTAGATATTATGCAATATCTTTTATATACTTTAAGAAGCATTTTATTAATGACAAAGATTATGTTAGTAATATTTTGATTTTTACTTTTTTTGAGATGAAATCTTGTTAGCCATTATTGTCACCTTCAGTCTATAGCCATCAATAAACATCATGCTCTTTATATTCCTTGCTATTCAGACCAGTATGCTTATTTTGGGTGTCAAAACAACCAAGACAAACTTGTTGGCTTTGATAAAAAGGCATATGATAATTCTTCATTTCAAACATTTTGACATAAAGAATATGCTCTTGGTGTTATATTCAAATTGGATCTGATAAAATAAAGTGAACTTGGAAAGATTAGATTCAAGTGATTATTTTAAAAACTGTTATGACTCAAGCAAAAGCATGTAACTTTGATTAATAATGTCTAGTTCTTGGGGACTTTTCTAAAATCCTTGTTAACCATATAATGTTAAAGCATCCTGCGTATAATAACATTATTCAGTGAATAATTTTTTATTTTTCCCTTCAAGACAGAGGTAATCACGACTCTCTTCAGATTCCTTTTCTTTATTGTCTATGACTTGTCATGACTCCTTAGGAAAGATAGTGGAGTGGTTTCCTGTTGTCTTTTCCATGTATAAGAGTAGTACTTAACTAGAGAGCCAAATGTACCCTGGAATTTAACCCATAGCTATCAGTTGTGAAGAAGAGATAAATTTATGCCTTTTCCAAGGGCATTAATGTAAAAGGAAATGTAATTGACTAGGTTAGAATTATTTTCTAACCACTGATAATGCATTTCTCTGATTTTCAATGTACATCATACAGATTGAATTTTAAACTTTGTTAAAATGAATTTTCAGTGTTAAATTTTCAATTTGTTTTTTCTGTAATGCCTGTTTGTAGGAGAGACTTTGTAAATCACAGATACAATAGTAGTAATGCCCTCAAACAATACTCAGTCAGATATCGCTAATTCCCATATATATATATATATTTCCTTTACCTGTCACATGATCTAATTATTTTAAGATGAGGTCAAGCGGCTTGCTCTCTGGCAATCTGTGGTCAAACTTAAGTGTCGTCAGTGACACTTTATTCCTATATGACAGTTTTCTTTGTCGTCTGAGATGTTTTGTTTGTTAATACAGAAAAAGACAAAAGGTAATCAGGAAAGTAGCTATAAAGTCAGTGGGCAATGATAAAAGCTGAAACTTTGATGCTTTATACTTGGTTCAAATGCAATCAATGTTATCACAAAAATACAACTATGATTTTCTTCTCTCCACTACCAAAATCTGCTGTGTCACTATATATATATATATATATATATATATATATATATATAAAAAGTTTCAAATTAAAAAATAATAATGTTTTATTTTGTGAAAGTATTTATTTATTTATATATATATTTGATATTTCAAATTGTCCTCAATTTTCATCAGAAATAACTGTTTGTTATAAATAAATTACTGTTTGTTAAAAGTGTCCTCGCCATGATATATGGACGTCACGTGATATGGAACGTCACTGTTCGGATATTTCTAACTTAAATCTAACTGTCATAAATATTTTAAATGTTTCAAAAACAATTTTTTTACTATATCTAAAAAAAATTTCGTTTCAATAACCATAAACAAACAATATGTCAAAACAACCCTTATTCCCCCATAGCTAAACACTACAATCAATCAGGACACACATTAGAAAACTGCAAATGTTTATTGATAGATTCCGATTTTACTTCCACATTCACACGCAAAAAAAAGAAACATATTGAGTTTTTTTAAAATTAAATACACATAAACTAGGGTTGAATAGGGACTTAGGTGTTTTAAATCTTTATAAATATTTCAATAGTTAAGCAATTTTTTAGATATAGTAAAAATTTTTTTTAAACAACATTTAAAATATTTATGACAGTTAGATTTAAGTTAGAAATATCCGAACAGTGACGTTCCATATCACGTGACGTTGGTGTCTCATGAAGGACACTACTTGCCAACAAACAGTAATTTTGATTTATTTGTAACAAACAGTTATTTCTGATGAAAAATTGAGGACAATTTGAAATATCAAATATATATATAAATAAATAAATACTTTCATAAAATAAAACATTATTATTTTTTAATTTGAACTTTTTTCTATATATATATATTAAGAAATATACGTGGCTTCTCATTATGCTATATATATATATATATATATATATATATATATATATATATATATATATATATATATATATATATTGTGTATAAAGTTCAATCTATTTAACTGACACTTTTGCTGCTGTGGATCTACTTATACATCATTACCTGCTGTTGGCATACATTTACATTTTACAGACACTGTGAAATGTAGGCCCCTAGCATTTGTGTTATAAACTAACTAGTGCTATTTCTAAACCAGCATAGATATATAATAGCATTTATGACCTGTTTTGTGATATATTTTTATGTGTTGCAGTGTCGTTTAGTTTGTATTGTAGAGTATCTGATCAGAACCAAGATAGTGGCACTTATGAGAAATTACTGTCAGTGTCTTTATAAGTCATTTATGTCCTGTAAATAGAAATTTCTTATTTTTCCCTAAATAGACAGCCAGACAACAAGGCTATAACAATGTAGCATTGAAAGTGTTCATATTCACCACTCAATTAAGTACATTGCCAAGGAAGGAGATTGTTAAAAAATAAGCATTGATTGTATAAAATAAGTGCTCTTTTTTCTTTTCATCATTAGGCTAAATACTTATGTACTCATGTATATAATCATTAGAATGAATGAAAGTTTTGATTTAATAAATCATATCCATGATATCACAAAATGTAGCTAATTAAAGTAGATATCGACTAAGTTTAGCTTAGTCTAGAACAAGAAGATTGTTTTGCACTTATCTGCCTTGAAAATCAGCATTGAAAGTCCAGGCTTTTACTTGTTCTCAAACACTCACATTAGTATTGATCAGAAATTAAAAACAAAACAAAATAATGAAAGACAACCTATCACAGCTACTACGTAATCAATTAAGCCAGTCTTAATAGATGGCAACACAATATCTATTTATTATTATGTACTATACTGATTTTTTATTAAAAATGATGTTAACTCTAAAATTATACTTGTAACCAATCATTAATTCTATGCTTGTAAACTCTTTGAATCTTCTTTATCAAGTCAATTCAAGGAAGCTTAATTTTGGACCAGAGACTGAATGAAGTCATTACTTAACATTTAATCAGATCTTGAATACTCATCAAATGGCAAATACCTTCAAGCAGTTCCTGTGTTAATTGAAAACTATCTAGGAGAGTCTGATGCTAGAGACAATTTAGGTTTGTACTTTCTATTTATACAATCATTTTGATTAATCACTATCACTCTTGCTTATATTGTGTGCTCTATAACTATAGCCAAGTACCAGGCTTAGCTTCACTTAGAGGGTTCAAAACCAGAAAAGTAAAGAAACATAGAACAAATAACTGCATCTTTGTGATTTGATCTTAACAGTATTGTCATTTACTTTCTGTTGGTCATATAAGGTTTACTAAAGAGCAATGTGATTACTGTTTTCTTATTCATTTTGAGAAGAGCCGTCATTCCAAGTGTCATTTGTACTCAACTCATTATTCACATTGCATTTGTAGTTAAAGTAATGTTTCAGCTGATCCATTCCATGGTCTTTTTCATATGTACAATAGGTAGTGAACAGAAAAGAAATGGTCATGATTAGCTTGGCTCATTCCCAGTAATATGAACCACACAGATTGTACAACAATAACACAGGTGATTCTATACTTATACATGAGGATACTTTCCAGTTCTCTTTTTGCTGAGTCAAGCAAACAGTATTTTCTGAAATCACACTGGTCTGACATACATACCTATCCAAAAGGATAAAAAAATATTGCTTCTTTTAATTTTCTCTCTTTCTAGCAATGTTCCACATGATGCTAGAGAAGGCAATGTATGCACTTCTCTCTAAATATGGTTTGCCATACCTGGCTTTTCTGTCTGTTCATGATTTTTTTGTAGAAAGATCTTCACTCTTTCTTTATATATAATATACATGAAGAAGGCTGTAGAATAGATATTCTGAAATATGGTAACAACAAAAGCAAGAAAAATAATGAGTTAAATAGCTCAAATAATGCTTGGATAGTAATGCAGTTATTTCATAGCATGCTGTCAGGTCAGGGGTTTTACCTTGTTGTTTATAACATGTAGCTTAGTACTACCTATCATATAGTATTTGTAAAAGAGATAGGTACTGCCAAATCACCTACCTTGCTTTCTAAGATCCCGTAAATGGCAAAAGTACAAGATGGTTTCCCAGTGATCTTCAGGTTATTGGACCAAACAACATATGTTAACAGTAGCTCTCAGAAGAAAATAATGAGCTCTGAAAAACATATTGTGACTCCATGGTTTGAAGTATAAGAGCTAATGGCAGTGAAAACATGAAAAATGTTGCAATTGTTGTTGCTAATTAAAATTACTATAATTGGTAGAATAGACAAACAACTATCTATTCATAGCTTCAGCACAATAGTAGGCCACTCAGTGAGTATCAAACTTGATATACTCATAAACTGGCTGAAATGAACTTACTCTCCATTATGCCACAAAAAGTACTCATGTGTTAATTGCTGTAGAAACCATTTTGTAATTTTTGTAAAGTGAATTGTACTAATAATTTTCATGATTTTTCTTCTTTCTTATCCTGTTCAATAAATTTGTGTGAGTTATTCAGTGTTTATTGATAAGTTTTAATAACTAAAGCAAGTGATTTTTGATGGACTTGGATTCACAACAAAGTTCAGATTCTGATTAATAATTGATAAATTTATTTTTTTTATCTGTAATTTTTGTTTTAATATTATAGGTAATATTGATAACTGGTTATTAACCCGAAGATTCTTTTTGGTGGACAATGTGGCTACAAAAAACACTTTGTCTCCAGGTAAGTTATTGATTTTGTTTTCACTTAAGACATTAATGCTTTATTGTTGTGGATACAGTAGATTTATTTTTTACAGAATTTGTGTTTCATTCTGCAATTTTATGAGCAACAGGATTGTTTATTAACGTTTCATGAAAATGTATTTTCTTTTTAGCACAAAATCTTTTGACTCATTTTCTATCTAAATAAATACAGAGTAATTGGGATGAAAAAATAATCTACTTTTATGGATGAATTTCTATTTATACCTTTTGATGGATTTATAAACCTCATATGATAACCTTTGGAGATATTGTCAGTGAAAGTGATTGAATATAAGTGATGTAATTTTTGTATGAATTTTATTTTATTTTTTATTTTTAGTATTTCATCAGAACTGTTTCAGCATGGCTGTGTGTTTCCAAGCATGCCTATCTGTTCAGACCTACCTGTATTTCTTTAATACTCACAAAGACAACCTGTGGTTTAAACTGCACCTATGTCATGCAGAGTTGTCCTTTTCCTATACTGGTTGCTAACCACAGCTATAGAGTCATCTGCCTTGCTATTTAACCCACTGGCTTACACTCAGTATCAAGTGATTTCTTTTCTGGATAAACCCACCACAAAATATGACCTATATCTAGTAGGTACACTATCAACTGTACTGAAAAATGACCATATGTCACATTTTATTAGTGTAAGCAATAATTACTCAATCATTTTATTTTGTAGATATTTAGATGCTGGCATTTTATATTTGCAGATCGTGCTGAATACCTTCGTTATGCCTCTTCCATGACTCTTGTCATTCAACTCCAGCCAGAAAAAGATGGCAACATTTTCACCCCTTATCTGAAAATTTCTTATGCAGAAGTCCATAGTGATGATGCCAACCTGAACCGCAAAGTGCAAGTATGAATCATATGAATTGTTTTATGTGAATCACTACTTTGATCATTGTTAGACTTAAAGGCTTCTCATAAAAAATAGGGAAAACATTATGGGGGAATAATTTTTGTAGATTAGCATTCATTAAACCATTCACAAGCCACAGCATTTGTCAGAATATAAAAAGATTGATTTTTTTTTATTGATTTGCAATGGGGGTCCTGTTCATAATATTGATATAGTGTAAAATCGATCTCTGATGTTTAAAGAGTTATTAAAATTATTGAGTTATTTAAAAATGTCAAGTCTGAAAGTGTGCTTACATTATTGATATTTGCATAATTTTTTTATTTGTTTTTAATTTTCTGAATTTTAAAAACTTTTTGTGGGTAAGGATTTTTTCAAAAGTACATGCACAAACATTGGGGATAATAATTATTTATATCTGTCTATTCTTTATTTCTTTAAAAAAACATCTGTTTTTGTACCTAGAATAGTTAAGTTCAATAATCCTGTAAAAAGTCAGTGATTGATTTTACACTGTATTGATATTATAAACAGGAACTCCCTTATAAAATGATAAAAATCAATATTTTTCAATGCTGACAAGTATTACTATCTAAGGCAGATTTATAGAATGCTAATTACAAAAATTATTTTCAAGAAAATTCTTTTTTATTTTTTTGACAAGTGAACCAGTCTATTTAAGTAATGTCAAAGTTTACAGGTGATGTTATTAAGAACGTTTAATGTTTCAAAATGTAAGTAAAGCATATTAACCCAGTGGTTCCCAATCTTTTTTACATGGCGGAGTTCTTTAAATTTTCACGGCACACCTATCACAAAAAATAAATATTTTCCACTCATAAAGCCTTTTTGCAATAAAATAATAAAAAAACAAAGAATATTATATAAGAAGAATTTTTATTCCCATAAATCAACATATCCTGTATTCAATATCGGTTATAAAATAATAATGGTGAATGTCAGTGGGACAGTTATGCCTGGTGCTTCTTGACTACTGCTGCAATATTTGGGTGAATGTGAGAGAGACACACTCTTAACTCTTCTTCAATATTTTTAAGTCTTTCACATTTTTTATTTTTTAATGTTGTTTAGGTAAGAAAATCCCAGTTCACATAGGTATGAAGTTGAGAATTGCAGTAAGATTTTGATGGTTTTTTTTACTTAGAGTTGGATACTCTTCCATAACAGAAATCCAAAAGGCATCCAATGGTAGTTGTGCGTACTTCAATTTGAGACCACGATCACTGGAAAGGCTTGCTAATTCTTCCTCTTCACATAACTCAAAATTGAAAAGGTTAATGACTGATAAATCTAGGAACGGATTGCGAATCCAATCAAATTCTTCAATGCTGATTGAGGGAAAATAATCTTCAATTTTATTTTCTAAACATGTCAAATGCTCACTAATAATGGGAATCATCTCAGTAATGCAGGTTTTTGAACTAAGGAAATATATCAAATCATCTACCTTCATTCTTTTCTTCCATATTGCAACTTTTTTTTTAAAAGCAACTAATTTATCTGTTGCTGTAAGAATATTTTCATTTCTGCCTTGCATATTGCCGTTCAGACTATTGAGATGTCTAAATATCTCATTTAAGTACTATATTTTAGATATCCACAATTCATTTTTAAGGTATTTACAAAATCTATCAAGTTTTTCATTTTCAAAAAAAATAAAAAGTTCTTTCTGAAGCTCAATTATGCAAGATAGCATGTTTCCATTTGATAACCATCTTACTTCTGTGTGCAATAGTAAACAAACATAATGAGAATTCATATCCTTGCACAGCAACTCAAAAATTCTGGACTTCAAAATATCTTGATCTTTTGTAGTTGTGAGTTTTTATGAAATTTACCATTTCAATCACTTGATTCGACACCTCTTTAAATTCATTTTGTGCTATCTTTGAAACTAATACCTCTCTGTGTAAAAAAACAAAAAAAAAAAAACAAAAAAAAACAAAACAAAAAACAAGGAGTTTGCATGATGTAAGGATTCTTTTTTTTCTACTAAAGATACAAAACCTTTTACAGAATCAACCATTGATGGCGCTCCATCGGTACATATTCCCACACATAAATCCCAGGATAAGCCATATTTTTCGAGGCATATTGTGATTGTATCAAAAATATCTTGATCTTTTGTAGTTGTGGGTAACTGTTTGCAGCATAGAAATTGATTAATTATGGCATCTTCATTGATGACATGTATAAATGCAATTAACTGTGCATGATTACTGATGTCAGTGGATTTATCAATTTGGAGAGCCAGCAGACTATTTTGAAATTTGGATATTACACTTTCCACAATATTATCAGACAAGTCAAGAATCCTTCACTGAATTGTATTGTTTGAAAGAGGGATCCTGCTAATTTCTTGTTTGGCCTTATCAAGCATAATTTTCATTATCTTTTTGCATGCTGGAAGGTTAACTGATTCTGCAAGAACATGAGACTTCAATGTAAGAGCAATAATTTCGGCCACTTCATATGAAGGTAATTGAGCTTTTTCAGACATGGTTACTGTTTTTTTAAATAGTTGAATTTGCCTTGCATTTGATTCTAATAACCGTTGAAAATAATCGACATTTTTAGTTTGAAGGCTAGGATGATTAGTAGTAAGATGTCTTTTCATTTTACTTGGAACCATTGCTTCATTAGACAGTGTTTGGCCGCAAACAACACATAGCAGAGAAGGAATCTGTGTATCTCCAGACCAGTGAAATCCAAATTTTAAGTAATTATCACTATACAACCGGTGAACTTTTGGTTTTTTAAATCACGTTGTAGAAATATTCTTGTCACCATCGCCTTTTCTTTTCAGAAACTTGTCCATAATTAAGGGTAAATTGATTCTAAAATGAAAAAAATAAAAAATAAATTTGATTAAAAGAATTTTTATTTATTTAAAAATTTGTTTTTGTTTGTCTTACTAAAATATTTAATAAAACAACGCCTAAATATTTAATAAAAATATCTAACAAATAATCTTTAAATATTGTGAATGAGATATATTGAATGATATAAACTGGCACACCAAAAACAATACCTAAATTTTTAACTGATTCAGTAAAATTCCAAACCAATATTACTTTAAATGTAATTGAGCGGTGTCATCATGATTAAGAAATTGAATGTCTTTATTAAACAAAAGACATGCATATTCTTACCAATTTCAACAGTAAAACTTTGAGACCTAGTTGCCAATCAAGTACTACACTTAAATTCAAGAAGGTGAGTTACCATAGAGGAAAGCTTGTCAGAACAATTGTCATAAAAATATTTATAGAGAAAGCACAGGAAAGCTATGTTACAGTGGTGAGAAAGTGATTGAAACTGAGATGACAGGTCAGGATTGATACCATTTTTCTGTATTTCTTGAGTAAGGCTTAGGACAAGGATTGATGTGTTACTCAACAAGAGGATACATCAAATCAAAATAATTATGTCATATATTATTGATCAAATTTCAACTGAGTTTTGTTTGGTCATCTTCTTTTCAGGTGTCTTTTCAGAGTGAATATATCCAAAATGAGGCAAATATCCAAAGAAATATAGACACAGCAATTGGAACCCTCAGTGGCCTCGGTGTGCTGTGGGCATGCTTGAACACATGGATTTGGTCAAAGAGAGCTGGACGTATTGCCATTGACTTTGCTACTTTGATCAACCTTTTATTTAATGTTTGTGCTTCTCTTAGCAACGTCCTCTTCATTAACATCTTAGGAATTGGTCTCTATTTTTTGATATTCTTCAAGGTAAGTAAATCCAATATATTAAACTAGTATTATGAGGTTGCTACTGATTTTCATGCTATTTTCAGTGACAAGCAAATCTGAAATGGAGATAGAACAACCTTCCTTCAAATGTTGCATACAAGCTCAGAAAGAATGTTTTCTGGGATTGAGTCTACATCACCTTTCCTAAGAGCTCTTTTCAACTTTGAATGCTCAACTCTTTTAACCTCAAAGCAATTGCAGCCATCAAAAAACTAGCTTTCTTCAACCAAACATATGCTCTGCCTGTTTTCCCCAATTTTTGACACTAATTTCAAGATTTTTTTCAGGTTGTCTTTAACAACATCCTTGAAATGTTTGTTGGTTTTTTTTCTGGGTGTGTATCAAGAAAAACAGGTGCTTAAGCAAGTTCTCCTTTACTGTCTTCCAGAGATGCCCTGCCCAGCATTGTTGATTGCGAATGAGCAGTTTCTCTATGTTAAGTATTTTGGCCTGTTGCAGAACAACTGTCTGGTGTAAAACACTGCTACTTGATGTTTAAGATACATGTAAAGCACTTTTGATGTGATATTTCCAAGGTTTTGACATGATGGCAATATATAGTCTATATCTCTGAAAAGTACAGGGGAGCAGTCAGGACACACAATTTGTAAACACTGATCTTAGTGTCAACTGAAATGTCTCTGTCTAACCAGACCTGGTTTTCCAATTTACCAAAGGCTTTGCTGGCTTTTTTTTTATTTTAAGATTGATAATGATCCATTATGGTTTGCATGTCCTTTTTGGTATGACAAGAAGGTCTGCATTGTCAACATTGTATAACTCTCAAATAACTGGAAACATTTTGACTTAGCCTTGAAATGAGTCAAGTCAAAGATATTTACCCATGGTCCTGAAATGCAGATAACATAGGTTTTCCAAGATTGCAAACTCAATGTGAGAGCCACTGCAAAGAAGATGAAATAAAGTTGGAGCAGGAATGTCATCTTGCTCAATTCCATTGTCATTAGTTATGGGTTCCAGTAGAAACCCATTGAAGTTAAGTCACCACTTCAACTCCCTATGAAGTTGTTTGAATGTCTTTACAAAGTCTGGAAGACATCCTACCTGACTAAGAACAGTCCAGAGAGCATCCATAATTATGGAATCAAAGATCTTGGTCAGATTGACAAAGATCTGGTACAATGCAACACAATGTTCTTTGCATTTCTCCTGCAGTTGATGGGCTGAGATCATATCCATTGTATTTCTTCCTGGTTTGAATCTACATTGTGTTTGAGGAATGACTTTAGAGCAAATCCATCTTGTAAGCCTGTTAAGTAGAAATTTTAAAAAAAGCATTACCCACTTCTTGAAGCAGGTTTATTCCCTGATAGTTTCCACATACCAATTTTGACCCTTTCCCCTTAAATGAAGAAATAAGTATTGTATCAACCCAGTCGTGAGGCACAAGTACACTTAAACAAATATCTGAAATCATACAATGAATCTCTACAGCAAATTTGTTGCACCTGTGAAGTAAAATTTTGACTGGATTACTATTAAGACCTGGTGCCTTCCCAGCATTAACTTCTTTTATTTTCTGGACCTCTTTCAAAGTAGGATGATCACATATCTCATTGATAATATCCAACTGAGGCAAGTTATTGATGTTATCTTCATTAAATACCATGGATTATAAAAAAAAGTTCCATAAAATGTTCAGTTCAGCATTTCATTATACTCTCTAGATCCTTGAAAATAAGCCATATCCTTTGATTAGAATGGCACCATAAATGTGATCAGGTGATATAATGCTTTGAAGTCCTTCTGTTTGTAAGTGCTCTGAGCTTACAAGAATATATCTAAGCATCACTGATTTTTTCATCTGACAGATTCTGTGCTGAAATGATGATTTAGTGTTTTGAAGGATTGAAGTAAAGATTCACAGTGCTTGCTGAAGCACTCAAAAGATTTTGATGTGCATCATTTTTTACCTTCAAAAGATGATTTATCTCAGGATCATGTTCATCAAACCAATCTCGATGTTTTCTCTTTCTGAGACCAAAAACTTCAACACTAGTGTTGTAGACCTTGGCCTTAAACTTATCCCAGGTACTGTTGAATTCAGTATCCTTGAATGTCATTTGGAGATCCTCACAAATAACAAGGTCTCTGAACCTTGAAACATCAATATGTTTGGGAATCCTTATCCTATTATATCTTATTTTACATTTGATGCAGAGTTTCATCTTGCTACATACCAACCTATGATCCATTCCACATTCAGCACTATACATACATCCTGAAGGTCTTGCTTATGACAAATGGTGTAATTGAGAATGTGCTTAAATGAATCCAATTAACCTTATGGGCAACTTTTTGATGGAAAATGCAGTTGTAGATGACTAGTTTGAATTCAGTGCTGAAGCTGAAGGTGTTGCAGTCTGTTGTTGTTCATTTTTCCAAGGTTGTGCTTTCTCAATGCTTCCTAAGTCTTGTGATTCCTACCAACCATGGCATTGAAATCACCAAGGATCAGAATCTTATCTGCTTTTGGAACCTTTGTAATAGCTGTTCTGGGATCTTAGTAGAAAGTTATGATAGATTCTGCAGAACTGGTGAGAGTTGGAGCATAAATAGAAAAGACTGTCATATAATGATCACAAGGTAGAGGTACTCTAAGAAACATGATTTTGTTATTATTGTCTTGAGACTACTCAAGATGCTTGGTTTACTTGGTATGAATAGCAACACCAACAACCTACACACATTTCTCTCCCTTGGGATTACCCCTCTGAAAGAAAGTGTAACCCACCTCAGATTCTGTTAGCTGGTCCTTGCCACTCAATGGCGTTTCAGATGTGTAGTTAATATCAATATCATATTGAGCCAACTTCTTTACTATCATACAATACATTTTTATAATAAAATGAGCAACAATACAATTTTATAGCAAAATGACAATCAATGCAACACTAAAAAAAATATAAAAATACATTTTTATAGTAAAATTACCAACAATACATTTTATGATCTACAAACTATATATCTAAAAAACATACCTTTTACCCTGAAAATTATGTACAAGATATCTGTAGTTGAAAGCATAAAATTATGTTCAAAATATTTAGATTTCGGCATTAAATAACCCATAGAGGTTGATATGTTGCTCAACAAAATCAACCAATCAACCAAATTTGGAGGGAAATGAAGATATAACAAGATATAAAACGAGTTCTGATAAAAAAAAGTACTGATGTCATATAAAGAAATCTACAATACCTATCAATTTGACATTTAATCTCTTTCAAAGTAGTCCCCTTCTGAAGTCACACACTTTATCCAGCATCATTTCCATTGATGGAAGCATTACTGGAACACATTTTTGGGGATAATGAGCAGCTGCCTCATCACATTCTCTTTAATTTCCTTGACATCTTGAAATCTTGCTTCTTTCAAGAGGGATTTGATTTTTGAAAAGGAAAAAGTAGCAAGGCGCAAGATCTGGAGAATATGGTGGTTGTTACACCTGGGAAATGTGCTTGTCCAAGAACTGCTGCACAAGCCATGGTTACTGATGGAACCTGGGATGTGGTGAGATGATCACACTTTCTTTCCAAGCACTGCTATAAACAATGGAAATGAGCGAGAACATTATAACAGTGTGTATGCATGACAAAGTTCAAGGTCAATCTGTGTGTGCAGCTTCATCCTGCATAGTATGTTAACCCTGTAGACTCCCGATGCCCACCTGGTTTTGAATACAAAGTTGTCCTTCTCTTAGACTTCTTGGCAATCAAAGCTAGAACACCCAGTTTGATTTGCTATTATTCCCTACCTAGAGGGAGAAGAAATGGAGTCATACTTTTTGTATGAAAGCAGATATAACAGACTTGGCTGGAATTTGAACTCTACATGCCAAACTCACTTTCCATGCTGATAACCACTATGCTGTGTACAGTCTGTCATTATTGATATAGTCCTATTTATTAATATTTTGACATTTTGAATGTTTCTTGATATATGCTAATTTTAAAAAAGAAAATTGTTTTTCATGTTAATTAAACTGTATTTCAGCGCCAAGATATTGTTGTCATAATGCCTCTGGTTGGGAGTTCATTGACAAAGACTTATGCCAGCTACATTGTGATAGCTTTTGTGTTTAAACTATTCGACCTATTCTATCTGATGTTTCGTCAGTGCACAATTGACATCTTTTTCATTGACTGGGAACGCCCAACCAGACAGCAAAAAGATGCACCTGTCTCAGCATGGAGGACGTTGTTTGTGGCAAATGAATGGAATGAAATCCAAACCATACGACGCACACATACATCATTCCAATTGATGATGGTTAACTACTTTCTGGTTGTGGTTGGTTTTGAGAATTTGTCCAAGAACAACCCTAGCCTTAGTCTGACAGCTGATGAGACTGACCTTTTCATTCCACAGAACCTGATGTTCAGGTTTACACTGGCTTCTACAATCTATCTAATTGTCGGTGAGTAATAATCAGTTCTTTCTTTCTTATTATTTATACTATGTTTTACTTTTTTTTAGTTTAAACTATAGTCACCTTCTTGGGAGATGAGTTTATAGTCATATAGCATTGAAACACCAGTTCCCGTATGATCAAAGCAGCCTCAACCCTGGTCAGTACTTTGATGGGTGACCACTTGGAGATATCAGGTACTGTAAACTTGGATGTGTGGGTGGTGTAATGGATAATGGCTTGGAATTGTTAATC